TGGTATAGACCATGATAATTTACAATTACATTTCTGAGCTTAGTCGGATTCTTTTTTTTCTAGTATGATACTATTTTGTGGTAAAAACAAGTTTTGCTCATAAGATTAAACAAGTAAATTCTACACAGAATATTAATGACCATTTTATCAATAACGTAATACCTGTATAAATAAAACATAAGAAATATAGACATGCTTGTATCCGTAAAACCCGTGTATTTATTCTATTTTACCATTTATTTAGATGTACTCGTATACCCATAATAACCTAACATATTAGTACCAGCATTCAACGATATAGCAATACGAAATACATTTCTAAATGCAGACAATTATGAACATGAACGGACTATTACCAATAGAATTTATGGCTATATTGATACGTTACAGCAGTGGTTGACAAAGTGGGCGTCGTTTCAATTTTGCTCGGGCATCGCGAAATTTTTTTTCTTTTTTTGCAGAATCTCTTTTGGGCGCATAGAAAAAAGTAATATTACAAGCGTGAAAACGATACTATACAAGAAGTCTAAAAACGCAAGTATGACGTAGGCTACATTGACTTTGGATCGTTCAAGTAAAAAGGCTCCGTGGTTTTTGTTGCATATGGGGATGCATTAGATAACATGTTTCACTGGCCAAAATCTTGCTTCAACAATACTGCTTTCTTCGCCGTTTTTGAACGGAATCGTTTTAAAAAGAAATTTTAATTCTGAAAATGTATTGAGTTATTGGATTTCCTTCAATAAGGATTATCCCTCCTTGGTAGAAAATGCGTTGTGCACTCTGATCCCTTTTGGGACTCCGTATTCATGTAAAGCAGGTTTTTCGACCATGGCCGTAATACACACAAAATATTGATCTCGAGTAAATGTTGAGAGGGAAATGCGTGCGGCTCATGGACGTTCATGGACGCCATCTTGTGCCATATTTGGGAAACGCGAAACAATGGAGTCTTATGGGAAATTTTCGTCGTGTTGTTGTACCGAATCGAATAAGTCCGCTGCTATAAGGGCTAGAATGAAACTGAAGGGTGGGCTTTGAACTTTAAGATATATGCTATCTAAATATATAAATAAATTAAGAATAAAAAAAACTATCTAATGCGTTAAATTTGACCCCAAACACAGCTTAGATCCATTTTTGGTCATTTTTTCAAAGATTTTATAGTGATACGCTAATTTGAGGCAGTAAAATGTCTCCGCAACAATCCTACAATGTCATTTGTTCTTCTAGCGCAGCTTGGAGCCGAGCAGTAAGGCATTATGGAGCTTGATAGACGAAAAATGTTAACCATAAAATAGAAACGGCCATTGAAGCAAAGTTGGGTCGGCCGGTAATTTCGACGAATAAATACAACTTTTCATCTGTGACATCATAAGGAACGCCATCGTCAAATGGTTAATTATGACGATTAGAATGGCCAATTTACTTCGGAAGCAACTCGGAACCGGTATACCTGTCTTCAAAGACAATTTAATGTACTATAAATGTAATTTGGCCAACATGAAAGGATATAAGCATGTTCGGCTAAGATTCTACTTCAAAACGCGACCTTCACAAAATTTTTCTTCCTAAAATATTAGTGAAAATAATAGGTATGTTTCAATAATTGTGTTGGAACTTCTCATAAGGCGCCGTGTTAAATTGCCGAGAACAATAGGCACAAAATGGCGTCCATTGTCTGAGCGTTGCCTCGCTTATATTATAATATTATATACACGCTTTGGTTAGTACCATGATCATAGACCATGATAATTTCAAATTACATATATAAGATTATCCAGATTGGCTCATAAAATTAAATCAATAAATCCTATGCAGGATAACAATGACTATGCTATCAATGAAGAAGGCAATATACGTATAAATATGACACAGGATATATAGACATCCTTGTATCTGCAAAACTCAGTGTGTACTCAATTTAATTCATTAATCATAGACATGAGTTGCCATGTTTTAGAATTTATGATTTCTCCTATATATTATTATTGATACAATGCTGTTCTAGCAGTTAGCTAGACGTTAGCTAGAGGGTTCAATGGAGAAATTAATGAAGTACTGGTACTCATATCTTAAGAAGAAAAAAAAACATTCCATAAGTATAATATAGCTATGAAAATATTTTTACGAATTGTGGTGATTACAATGTAACTCTTGTTATGAGAATGCTCGCCACACTTCGAAAATAACTAGCTAGCAATAAGCTACAAATAACAAATGGTATGTTTCATTCAAAAATACCTTGAAAATACGGGATGGAATGTAAATATCCAAAAAAATTCATGATTAAGTCCGACAAACAAAAAATAGATTTAATTAGCTACATGCCCCCTCAAAAATTGTCTACGCCCATTTTGCAATGCTTAATTTGCTTTTTAATGCTAAATTACAGTTTTTCGGGTAAAATATTAAATTTCATGCGGACGAAGAAATGAACACGGGTCCGGTTCCAAAAGCTTTGCCATATAAAATTATGAGCGCGCATTGGTGCCTAAACTAACAGCATTACTGCAAACACAAGGGAAAAAGTTCCTTCTCAGGAATGACAAAAATCTAACAAATTTGGAACAAAGTAATGCAATTTTTAACCCGAATATTGGGCGGTAATATGACAAAAACACGATTTTTTATTGCTAAAATTTATTTGTCTTTTTCGCTTATTAGCCAGAAAAAAACGGTAGTGGTGCGCATCATGATATTATAAAGTAATTAGGGATTTTCATAGATAATTCCTTTGACAGACAAACCAAAGCTGAGTTTTTATCAATATGATAAATATATTACTCTGTCTGCAGGTTTCCCGAAAAAATTACAAATAATATTTGTTGATAGACATACAACTTACAAGTATAGTTCACACGATTGGAAAAAACAAATTAGTTTCAAATTGCATTTAACAAAATAAATAACATTATATGATTATGCGACACATGCTAATAAATATAGACATAAGCACCCTGTTCATAGATTATATTTTTCCGTCCCATTCTCCTCCCATCCCATAGCAATTATCCTTGTCCCATCCCATCCCATCCCATGGAATTCCCATTGTAATAAAATTCAATAAAAATTGTTAAATTTAGGTTTAGCGTCCAATAAATAGGACTACATGTAAAAAGAGAAAAGCGAAACAACAACATTTACGGACTTTGTTAACTTTATATTCATAACTATTATACATGTGTCCATCAGCCCTTTCACGAGGTATATTGTTAATGCTGAATATGTTTTGCTGTTTATAACTAACAAGAGGGCTATGCTCAAATATATGGACACGGAATCCATAATGAAATTTTTTACCATCATTTTCCCGAAAATCATACGGATTTCGTGTCCCACGTGTCCCATGGGAAATACAAATGTGTGTTGTCCCATCCCATACCATGGGACGTTCCCATGGACAAGCATGGACATAAGGTAACTATCGCGATAATGCGTATCCATATTAAGTTTTTGGCCATTTGGAAGCGTTGCCACAAAATCTTAATATGGTAAGCTGGAGTGAATATTTAAATATTAGATGCAAACAGCTAATTTTCGAAAAGATGCTAAAATTGTACAATATTCTGCCTAAAACTCGGGTATTAAACATGTACAACGATACTTCAAACACTCTTACGAAAATTTCTCCCTTGGTCTATTAGTGCTGAGGTTCTCAATGTGCTCGGTGAGAGAAACTTAGGGGCTCCGCGAGCCATTCGATTACTTATTAAAATAATGACTTGGCTAATTTTGTGACTGTCAAAAAAAGTAATAACATCATTGATAAAATTTGACACCAGTAGCGTCGAAATATGATAACGAGCGTAAATTCAAATGTGACATTATCTATAAGTAGGATCGCAGTGGATAAAAAGTTTTTTCTCGAGTAAAATATTCAATTCATAGCCGGTGCAAGCATTTAAAATGTCTTGTCATAGTAATTTCATAGAAATTTAATGGTGTTCTTCGTTACTCGAATTTTAGTCGAGAAAACTTTTACGAATATTAAAATGAAAAATCACTATTTAAAAACTGCATAAAATACGTCCCAAACTGCCAACTATAAGTAGACCGGAATCGTATTTTAAGGTTAGTCAAATTTGATTTGTTTTTTCGGCACTCAAAATTATTTTAAAGATATGGACAAAATACAAACGATTGTAATTTAAAATATTGCAAAAAAAATTGATCGATATATTTTGCATTAATTATCTTATATATCGTCACATACCAAGAAAAAGACGTATTGGGCTCCATCGTTAGTTTTAAAATAGACAAAAGGTACATCGTGCGAACAATTTACTGTGTTTCGATTTTAGTTACTATATTGTATAGTTGTACACATTTTAAAGAAATCCCAACATAACACAAAATTACAATGTCTAAAAACGGGACTGCTAAAACAAAACTTATGGTGAAATCTTCCGTTTTAGATTTTAGTTTTAATATTTTATAATGCCGCTTTTTAACAAGAAATTAAGTTGCGGATTCACCTCTTTATTATTTATTCCTAGCTTCTCTTCACCGATTTTTATAATATAGTATTCTAACTTGTTTCGCACACTGGAATTTTAATTCTGCACAGGAAAAAAAAATTATCGTTGGCTTCGTAGAACAATACAGACAAATGCCAAAAAAAGTTTGTGATTCAGAGAGAATAAGCACATAAGTTGTTTAATAAAAAACACGTCACGATGACAAAAACTATCGGCGATTCTAACAAAATGTCATCGCGTACGTTATTTTTCAGTATTCCAAAAACACCAAAAGGGTTTTCATGTTTTTTGAGTTTACAGCCTTATATTTAATTTATCTATAAAATTTAGATTTATTTATGCCTGGTATTAAGCATATTAAAAATGTTTAGCATTTAAATTAGGTAAAATAATTTTAACTTAAAAATAGTAATAGATAACAATTTCAAAATTTATTGTGGGGATCCGTGAATAATGGTGATGAGTGTAAATTAGGAAGATTCAAAAGATTTTAATAACATACTTGCTCTTTAGATTCGAAGTAGCCATTTCTCTCAGTGATGCATAATCGGACAAATAACTCCGCATGTCTTTAGATATAATGATAAATTGCCTTTCCCGCTTTCAAGAGGTGTTTCAGAAAGCTGAAATTTATATGAGATAATGAAATGTAGGTAAATTTTGTATCATATGGATTTGAAATAAATAAAGCTGTTTGAACTATGTCATTATTAAGTTTTGAGTTACAGAAAATGTAACTTGACAGGAGCACAGAGAAGCTATGCTTATACTTTAGATCAGTGGTCGGCAACCACCGGGCCGCGGCCCATCGCCGGTCCGCGGAGAGGTTACTGCCGGTCCGCAGAGAGGTGACACAAAAACGGACAAGGCCGAAATAAAACCTCTACAATCTAACCACAAACCCTACAATTAAAAAACAGCATTTAACAGTAAATCAGACAAACACAACACCAGGGGTCGGAAAAAATGCGGCCCGTGAGCTAATTTGTTGCGGCTCATAAACGACTCGACATTTATTAAATAAAACAAAAATTAATCCCAAATTTATTATTGTTTCTACACGGATTTATTTGCGGAGCGACGCGGGTCGAGCATTCCAAAATGCTTGAACGGGAAAATATTTTTCGTTCTTGCGCATTCCAAAACCGGTTTGCTCGATATGCCCAGTCAGCATCGCAGTTGTTAGGTTTCAACGACAAACTTGTTATGAAACGAGTCGTCGAAAGTTCGACCCCGAGACCCGGGACTGCGCCACAGCTCATCTGTGCGACAGTGCAAAACGTGTAATGTGCACGTTTGGAAGAACATATGGCCTTGAGCAGCTTTATCTAAAATGCATTACACTTAGATTAAATTTCGTATACTCGCTTGTCGAAATATCATCATTGGAACGACGAGTTGCCACAAAAACATCAACTTTTACATTGATAATAAGTATATATATATACATAAAAACAATGCGTTGTTGGATAATAAAAAAAGGCCACATATATATACATCTTATTGGGACAGGTTTTCAACACAGCAATGAATGGTAGCAATGCGAATGCGCCATAATTTGAAGTTTAATTATGGTAGAGATTGTTCGAAGGCGGGAATATTGCGCCCGCGCGCTACCAGAAATGTTTATATTTGGCCCGCAAGTACATGAAATTTGCCGACCGCTGCATTACACTATTGAGCAACATGTCTGATTTCATAAATAATTGCCATGTCAGTATGTCGCAGTAATGCTGGGTCAATTGTTTTCTCTGCGGCCGTATAAGAATTTCTCTCATCGGTCCGACTAAGATCTCCCCAACAAAACGATACAGGCATTGTTAACTTTCCCGAAATCTTACTGTGAGGCCTGGTTTTCAATATTGATACCTACAAAAACGAAATAGGCTGGAAGTAAGAAACACGTTACGTGTGTCAATGTCGACCATATCTCGAATATGGGAACAGTTAATGGCCATCAAACAAATACAGTCATCACATTAAATAGCATCACCGACGTTTTTAGTATATTGTCAAAATAAATTTCCTAAAGCGTATAATTTGAGGCATTGGCTTAGTTCGTTTATATAAAGGTGGTCCGCCAAAAGTTTGGTCAAGCTTTACCGGTCCGTCACTTGAAAAAGGTTGCCGATCACTGCTTTAGATCAGTGTTTCGCAACCCGAGTCCGCGGTTTCAAATGAGTCGGAGCATTTGAATGAGTCCGCAACGAGCCAGAAATTCACTGCGGACTGCAAACGTTTTTGCGAAACTTAACTGTCAGCCAAGTTACGATGTACGTTAGAGTTTACATAAAACATAAAAGGCAAGTTTATTCACATACCATTATTCGAGTCAATAATTACTGGTTAATGAGTAGAACTTGGCATATATTCGAATATTCAACTATTAGAATAGCAATTTACTATTCGAAAATTTGGTAACAGCTGACGCGTCGCTTAATCAAACGATTGCATTTCCCAACTCACTTGCGGATTTCAAACGAAAACACACGCTTCGAGAGAGTTCGCGAGTTCGAACAACGAGGAATAATTTTTTTTTCTGGTAGGTGTCGATAGTGGCAACTCAAATTTTCTAAATTGAAAAGCGGCAATACAAAATACTAAAAATAAAACGGATAACAACATTAGTTTTGTTTTATGATTGTCCGCGACCGATTAAAAACGCTTTTTTAGACATTACAAATTGCAAAATTTCGGATGCTACCGTAGTGTACGTACCATGGCATCTTTTCTTAGGATTCTTTTCCTTACTGTCTCCACATTGGAACGTACAGTAATGGATCGCCGTAGGTGTTGTACAAACAGCTCAGATTTAACGAATTCACGAAAACACAAATCAAAACAAAATATAATCGGGCACTTGACCACTTTGATATTTTCTGAGTAGTATTATTCCGTCAGCACAATTGCAGATTAAAATCATCACAATTAATTAAAAGCAAAGCATGACGATGAATATGTATTTTTGAATTTACTCATAAACTTTAAATATATTTTTAATAAGTGCTAAGTCAAGTTGTACTTTCTGGAACTTTATAGCAGAAAGTAGGATTTTCCTAACGGCGATAACAAATTCGCAAGATCGCAAAAAAATATGTATCAAAACTAAATATAATCGAGCAATATATTCTCACATTATCATGTTCGCAGATTGCCGTGGCATTTTAAAGAAGTAATGCTTTCATCTTGTCGTAAGTCGACGCAACAGCGAGTTACCATGAACACAATTTAATTAAAATAGAAAGACATTTAATTTCTTGTCGTTGTCATGAACTGAATATTGTGCGACAGAAACGGCCATTATACACTAAAAACGTCGGCTCTTTTGACGAACGCGTAATTGCGGTGAATTTCCAATTTTGAAATTTTAATGTTGTGTTTGGTTTCATTGCTTCTTCACAGAGAGTACGGTTGCAATAAACGCTCCTTGAGGTTTTCGCCGGTGAGAAAATAGTTCGCGACCAAGAAAGGTTGAGAAAGGCTGCTTTAGATACATGAAAATGAAAATGTTAATTTTCAGTTCATTGACAAATTATTCACAGACTTCCCCCTAAATTACCAATATTACTTTGAAATGATCTGTCAGTGTATAATATTGCAACAAATCATATAAATTATATTTATATTCATTGAAAAGCACGTTGAAAATACGGCTATATATTCAAGAAATATAAATATCAAAAATGGGCGGGAAAGATAAAGTCCAACAAATATTTCTATTCTTAATTACCTTTACGCCACTTGAAAAATTGTCCACGCCCTTGTGATAAGCTATGCTTATTCTAAAGATACAAAAACGACAACTTGTAGCCTATTGATATCCATTTACAACCATTCTTAAATTATTTGCAGATTTTCAATATTATAAATATTACTTATTTGGAATCATCTGTCAGTGTGCAATATTTATATCTCATTATCTAAATCGTAACTAGTTAATTACCTATCGATCTTAAGATCGGTAAGTATGTTGATAGGTATTTGTTTGTTTGTTTGTCTGTTAGATGCACGCGATATCTCACGAAAGAGAGATTCAATCTGCTCTAAATTTTGCATGTGCTTTCATCATAGCTCGGATCAGAAGCCTATTTTGAATGGATTATGTCGTATAATTAGCGAGGTATTATTTAATTAGTGATGGGACACACGGTGTCACTATGGAGTAAGACCACTGTTTTGGGGGATCCCCTAATCTTCGATCGATGGGTCTTCGGTTTCGAACCGAATTCTAGTTATTTATTAGTGTTTTATATTTTACCTTCAAGTTCTCTATAGTCTTTCCTTCCCAGCGACTTCCTGAAAATATACGTATATAAAAAACTTCAACTACAGACATTGTAGACATTATATACATATATATATAAATAAGAGCATGACAGATCATTACTACGAAATAAACGATAGGGAAATATGGAATATATTTCCAGATTCAAACGTTTATGAACATGGGACGGTATGATTACTGAGGCTACTAGCATATAGGCTGACTATAGTAGATTTACAATTTGGTGGGATCTCATGTATATAGTAACCTTCAAACTGGTTATCGAGCAGCGACACCCATGTTTCTAATGTCTAATTAAAAAGCAAGAATTCTGAGTTTTGAAACTACTATATCTTATATTGACGGTGAGTGCCGTCAGTGACACAAGTTCTTCGAGATGTAAGATTAATTTGGGGCGTTACCAGTTTGAACTAGTTGGTAACATAAAAGGCATGATTATCAACTGTTCATTACCAGAGCGAGCAGGTCACACGATGAGCTACAGTTACACTTAAGAAATCAGACTGATTAAATTATAATATATAGTATGGTAGTTAGTGTGAACTACCATTTGTGGTAAAAACGCTTATCAGATTAATAAAAAAGGCCAGGACAACGATTTCAACAAATTAGGCATATTAGTGTATATATAGGCACTCTATAACAACCAAAAGTTAAACAATAAGTTTTAATATTCGCATGGTTATTAAGTTCGGGTTGTGTTTTAAATGAATTGCACTTAACGAGGCATAGTTCAAATCCTTTCAGTATATCTGCAGATATACACTGCTGGATTAACTTAAGTATCACTATGAAAAAAATTCACTGTTTGTCGTAATCACAACTGACGCCCTATTGCGTGAAACGCCTTTTATTTATGCTGGCCTAATGACCTTCAAATAAACTGACATTACAATAGTAGATAATAAACGAAGCACAACTGGTGTTAGCAAAACGCAAATTACATCGTTTTGTTAACACCGGTTGTTGGCTTCATTTATTATCAACATGAGTTTACCTGGTGGCAATCATGCATTACAAGATAGTAATTGGCCTTTCGGTTTGGACGATTGAACGAAACAACAGCAGAGAGCAGCAGTTAGCCCATGAAGGTGCAGCGCTGTACTGACTACGCCATTATTCACCGGATATTGCTACAGTTAATTTGTAGTACAGAATAGTTAATTCCGCGATTCTACGAAATGAACATGGTATGGTTTTAACAGATTTTGCCATACACAATTATGAGCGCGCATCGGTGCCCAAACTGACAAAATGAAGATCAATGTAATGCATTCTTGTGTCTCGAATATTGGGCGGGAACGAAAAAAGTCTAATTATTTTTTCTAAAAAATGACCCCCGCCTTTTATCACTGGGCTGACTCAATAGCCAGAATAAAACGGTAGTTGTGCGAATCATAATATTATGAAATTTTGAGGTTGTAATTTATAGAAAATTTCATTTGACAGACGAAACAAAACTAAGCTTATACTCAATATATATATATTGAAAGTAATAATTTGTCTGTAGATTTCCCGAAAATAATACAATATATCATTTATCTATAGACATGTAAATTGAAAGATTTCAAATGATTTGGTTACGTACTTGCTCTTCAAACTTGATAGGCCTCCATCTCACTCTCAGTGATGAAAACCTAGCACTTGACGAATTTCTTTTAGTCCAACGATAAATTGTCCCGCCGACTTTCGAGCAGGGCTTTAAAAAGCTGAAAATCAATATATATGTCAGGATTTTGTGTAAGCCAATTCTAAATTTGAATTAAACTAAATTTTGTTGAGCCAACTATGCAATTATTCATCATTTTCAACTATGTCGCTGATTTTCAAAATTACATCCTTTAGTTAAAATGATATGATAGTGATTATATTGTACCTCATTTTGTATTCTTAATTAAAGTAAGACTCTTTTCTGAATATTTTCTTCTAAAAATATACGTAAGTTTCAATAAAATACGTAAATACGTAAAATTTATTCAGCTATTGCCATTAAATTTCAAATATATACTTTATAACATATCAGGTGTAGTTTTCAAACTGCACAAATTGCAAATATTACAATAACAATAAAATACCCAATGACGTTTTATACTTGTTTCATGGAGTATATGACTAATTACTCTGATCAGTAACTTGTAGCATTATCACATTGTTCACGGTTGGGATCGCAAATTGGGGATCGATATCCAGCAGAGGAGCGTGCAACGAATTTTAGGGGTCGCAAAGAGTACACCAATTTGATACAAGGTACTATATTTATAGTACTTTTTTGGACTCTGCTTCGAAACACAATTATTAAAACTTGTGCAAAATCTACAATTTGATAGAATGCACAGGATCAAATAAGCGTAATAACAATGTTGGCTTGCATCGAACTATTTAGCATTCTAAACGTTAACGCTGGTCTTATATTTTTGAACTTTTGAATCGAAAGACAATTATTGAAACTTATTATTGAAAATATAAGTCTTACAATTTCGAGAGAAAGCACACAATCAAATAAATAAGTGGCATAACAATGCTGACTGATCGCAAGACCCGAGACGCGGTGCGCTCGCATCGAATTGTTTAGCATTTTAAACAAAAACAGTGGTATACAGGAATCAATAGGCGTCGAAAGTCAAATAAAATGTTCAAATAATATTTACTTGCAATATTCCCGTTCGTTACTTTGTTGTGTCTTTGAATCTTTAACCTTTAATATTTCTGCACCTGAAAAAAAGTTAAGATATTGATAAATAAACTATCGCAGAACTGTAGCTAGCATATTCAATGGACAGTGGGACTGAATCTATCGGATCTTTTGCACAAAGATCCCGCCACGTTTTAAAATGACATATTTAATTTTGGGGTTAGGAATGATTTAAAAATTTGAATTTCCAGCGCAATCTGCATTCCTAACTTACTAATTCTCCTATTTTGAACGTTGGTAGGGTCTTTGTACAAAGATCCAATCTATTCACAATAATATAAGTAAAAAGGCTACGGCGAATCTCTATTAAACCATGGATTTTGCGCTACATTTGCGAAAGTTTTGAAAGTTATGCATTACATTCATGTAAAGCGTACCATGTTGAATGCAGCTTACGTAGTTACGTAAATCAGTGTATTACGTTTAAGTTTATTATGATAAGTTTATGTATTGCCATATAGCATTTAAGTTTGGCCTATTTGAGGAAATGATGAAACCCGCTGTCAGTGAGTTCGATACAAGAGAGAATCATCCATCAATCTAGACTTCTGTATTTGGATAATAATTCCAATTCGTAAAGGTCCGAAAACCTCTAATTCACCACTTATACAATAGTAAAATGAAATCAATATAATAGCAATGAAAACAATAGGTATAAAGAACATTTAGCTCACCTGAATATTAGTTCGAACTCACTGTCATAATCCACAGTCAGCCTATCCATACATCCTACACAAAATCATCTTAACACGAACATTTGTGACTGACTAAAAGCGATGTCGCTTGTGGCTTCCCGCGCAAAAATATGTGACGAAAAAAGCTAACTAATTGTTTGATTACATTAATTACTCCAGGTTGTTGTTACGAGACGATCACGCAAGCGTGATCTCAAAGATACAAATGCAAATGACGGTTGGGATTTGCTTCATACATCGTATAATACCTAGTTCACAGTAATATTCTCAGGATCTTTTGTACCAAGCCCACCCCAAAACAACACCCCGCCAACGCTCGAATTAAATAGAAATAGTAATTATTCAGTTAAGGTGAGGGATGCAGATTCAGCCGGAAATTCAAATTTTCAAATCGTTCCTAACCCAAAACCCTAACTGCATATTTACTTATTTTTTATTTTAAAACGTGACAGGGGTGTTTATCTCAGATCACACATTTTTGCAGTGACGGGAGCTAGTACAAAGAATCCAGAATTCCATTATATTTGTCTGTTTATATTTGTAGAGTAAACGCGCACGTGAATGCCATCAAAAATGCAACCCTCCCACAACTCAATAAAAGAATAACGGCGTATACAAGTTTAGCGTTATATCAATGCATTCTCTGCATTGGCGTACAAATCTTAGCTCATAAGGTCTAGCGCTTAGGTCATAATGTGACGTTGTTCCGACCTACGTGATATTTGTAAATCATTATTTAATATTAAGATTTATGACAGAGCATACCGACGACAACACTGATAACATATAGATCATCTATCGAGACCATTCAAATATTTGGTGTTATGGAGCTCGTGACGAGGTAGACGTAACCCATAATAAGGACGTAACAAAAACAAATTGTTACTTACCGATCAATATTAATGAGTGAATTGAAATTACTATATTTAATAACTCGAATGTATTTGCTGCTTCTTAAATGTTAATAGTGCCATTTTGAGTAAACGAATAGATCGCGGAGACCCTATGTCCGTATGAAACACTTCATTAATCATGGAATATCCCAAGAAACGTAAAGTTGACAGAGGGTGTCGAGCATTTGACAAAGATTGGATACCGAAGTATTTTTTGTAATAATCAGTCCCACCGAGGACTTCATTTTCTCACATCTGGCCCGTCGACTAGATAAGTTGTCCACCCCTGAACCAGGCTAAGGATATACACGTATTTTAATGTATTCAGTATCTGTGACAGTCAGTGCACTGCAGCTGACTACGTTCGCGTTGAGTGGCGCATCGTGCTGAGCCTTAGGAATACGCTCGATTTCTTACTCCGCTTGGATTCGCAGGTTCAAATATCGTAGGGGACAATTTAGTACCAGAGGATTGCTGGCGGCTTCCTTCCGCCACCCCTACCCTAAGCCAGCGTTTCCCAAACTTTTTTCGCCACAGAACACTTGCACTTTTTATGTCGCCTCGCGGAACACCAAAAATGAAATTGATAAAGAAAAATGATGTAATGCAGCGAGTTGCCAAATGCGCCGCGAAAACTAACAGAATTGTGTTAAACATACCTAAAATATGATTGGATATTATTGTTATTTTTCAAATTCTGGGTATATGAATCAATAAATTCATTTTACCTTCCTATGTCGATTAATTTTCATTGCGTAGTGTTTGTCTTTAATGTTACGTAATAATGGAGTACTTTATTTTAATTTATCTGATCTATCTACTATTATTTATCTGCTGAATCAATTTTAGCGAACAGGAGTAATTTTTTTTCCCCATTTTAAAGTAAAACCAGGCAGAGGTAGAGGAAGAAAAGTTGACCTTTTGCCATTATCCTTCAGGCCTGATTGACATGGCGACCAATCTAGCCCTAAGCGAACGCCATATGAAAGAGATGTCTTTCTTGTAAGCTTTTCTACTACCGGCGGAAAAAAATATTGGTGGAGCTCTAATCCTGATGGAGTGTGACAATAAAAATTCCTGCTTCCAGTCTCAACGTGAATCGTAATACCAAACGATATAAGTTACAACTGTAGTTTGAATTTTACCGGTACCTAGTAATCTACCTCAGTGTGTTTCAACGTTGCTAGGTTGAAGGACCGCAACAACCTTTGAGAAGGTCTCGCGGGCGCAAGTCGGAGAAAACCCAAAAGTGATCGAAATATCGCGAGTTTAATTACTTTTAATTTAATTTAACTTTTAATTTAACGAGAGTTTACCGTTCTAATCATACTAATATTATGTTGCATTGGTGGCGTAGTTTTAAAAAAGATATATAAAGCCTTCAGTTATTTCAAAATTAATTCCCGGGAATTACGTTGTATTTTCAGCATCTCGCGTTTAATGTCGCTTCAAATTATATTCTTTCGTGACAGATATTACCTGAAATCAAACTAGACACTGTGTGACGGGCAAGGACATAGTTTCCGCCGTGTTTTCCTGTCGGCTATGCGTTTCTTCACTACTGGCACATGGCCCACGCTTAAAAACAGAGGAGTATATTCACTAAAATAAAGCCACCAAGCATTACAAAAAAGGGTTTGAATCTCGGGATCCCAACCCCAGTTGCAATGGCTAAAAAAAAACTCAAAAGCGTTCTGCTATTAGATACAAATATACGCTAAAATTGTTCTGTGGGCAGCACGGAATGTGTCAGCATGACATGGTTTGGACCACCCTGGTCTACCTTAACAAAAAACTCCCGACTTCGCTGACCACTAGATCGTTGAAATGCGATCGTGGAACCACCACATAGTGCAAATAGTTCATTAGTCCAATTGTTGGAAAGAAAAGAATTTTTTTATTAATAAAAAAGCTCCAACAAGGAGAATACTAGGAGGAAAAAACCACAATTTAAGAAAACGATTCATAGGCCCATTTCGTGTCCAATAAATAAGTTTCAGGGTTTATTTTTGATGAAGAAGGTTAGTATGATACTTGAAGACGAAAAATAAGCGACCATTTTGAAGATTGAGTCGTCTGGTGAACTCTGAACTGAATATTTTAATAAACACCGATAAACTATATAAAATTCTGCTTAAAATTTCTGGTGCCCTCTTTGCTTGGTGCCCTAAGTACGTGCTTATATTGTTCAATGGTTAATCCGGCGCTGAGTGGGTGTGAAGGACAGAGTGCCCCATTAAACGGGAAGGAAGTTAGTTGTGAACTAGGCAGAGTGGGAAGGTCCGGGTCAGCTGCAGAAAGCAGAGTGAATACTCAAAAACACTATAAGAAAATCAAGAAGCCAGTAACTGGAGTTACTGGACTGAAGTTGGCAGGACGGGGTCAACGGCACAAATTAGACAGAGCGCCGGCAATACACAAGAAGGAAG